CTATAAATATCTGACTCTTACAGTATGGCGTTATAGGAAATATGTAAGGATTATAGCTCATAATCATTGAAAATTGTGAACAAGAACATTCCATAGAGGCTGGAGTCCCTCAAGGCCAAAGTGCCCATACCGGGTCTTTGGGTACCCAAAACATTCAGACTTATGATGAACAATTTGACCATAGCGGTGCGGTTCTTAGCTTTGCCGTGGGGACTTAAGGAACTGAAGCCATCGTAGCTTACTAAAACTCAAACATTATTCGACGTGTATGTGTTACAGCTCTATGAGGCTTGCTTTGCTGCATGGGACGAAGGAACTTGAAATATTTCCGACTTTCATGATGCAAAGCCGACAAGAAAATCACATGTCGTGGGCTTTTTGGGGCAGGGCCTGGTGTGTTATTGTGCAGGCACATAGTTGGGGTTGCAAACCTCATGGGCATCTCGGAACGTTTGCTTCGAAGGCGCTCATACCTTCATCCTAATACTGTGGTGCTCAGGCATGAACTGCATGCTCTATTGCGGAAATACTTACTACTATGGTGGATTAAGTTAATGATGAATTGCCTCACTTCGTACTGAGCGGCGGGGAGGATACAATTCCGTCAGGGCCCGTGACCAGAATTCACGGGGAAGACAGCTAGGAAAATAGGATCACTCTTCTGCAAGGCACCACGCACGCTTTTCTGGCAAAGCAACATCTGCACAAGCCGTTAGCCTCTGAAATTTGGACTGAAACCCTCAAGTTCTCGTCCAGGTTACACAGTCTGGAGTACCCTGCTTACGAAAGAACTAAGCATGGCAGCTGACAGAAAAAAAACACATGCATGCATGCACGGACCCATGCATGCAGGCATCCCCAACTTACAGCCGGCATCGTGGCCTATTACGGCATCCTAAATTCGAGCTTGGACTTCCGAACCCTAACGTCCTGAGCCCACTTGCAGCTTTCCACTGTCAGGTTGATAGCTTCCTCCCTGAGAACTGGATCCGGGTTCCTCAGGCAGCGAGAAATTCTCCATGGCAAGCTCTATACTCAGCATCCAGAGAGCTCGACAAAATGCGACAACATCCGAGTTTCTAGAGGGGATTCTGGCCCAACTGCAACTATCTGGTTCCATGGTATATGTTTCTTCGCGACGGCAAGGCTGTGTGAAGGTTTCGAGGTCTCTTTTGGGCGCCCCGCAAGAGCTTCAACTTCAGCACTAGCTGTTTTGGGTTACAAGGGCGCCCTCTCAAAATCTCAGTCACCATGGGCAAAATCATAAGACTAGTGATTGTCCTGGAGGCCCTCTTGATCTTAATAACTCCGCCTGGACCTGTACCAGACGGGTACTACACTCTAAAACCCAAGCCATCAGCTCTGAGTCTACTGAAAGGGGAACCATGGCTCAAAGTCGTATTGTAGTGGAGACAGGCGAGAGAAGCAAGCACATAACTTTGAATTTGTCCGTAGACCATACAGAGGGAGCGCCTCACCAGGTCAACTAGCCCATAACATATGGAAGCTCAGGATCTGCCAGGGCTGGATGGCTCTATTCCGTCCTGTCATGAACCTGTATGAGGGTAGTGCAGGAAGCGGTATAGAACGGACAGAGGCTCAATGGCACGAATGTCCCGGCTTGTTACATACCAAGATGCTCAGCAACATCCATGCTTCACAGGGTCCACAAAATCGGCTGCCTTGGACTAAGGAGCGTGCCTTGAATCACACCTCGCCTACTTTCGGGAAGAGATCTGCTTTTGACTCAGAACTGTCTCCATGTTTTTCATATCCCCATACAGGGCACTTAGCCTTGTGCCAACGTACCTGCTATGCTAGATCATTCATACTGAGCCACAAAGCTCTCAAGGGCCGCGTAACAACGAACCTGATTAATCAAGGGTTCTAAAGTTCTAAAGAGAAGAAAACGACTCTCTAGATTGGGCTGCCATTGACATACCTGACTGTGACAAGAATAATCTCTCCATTCCTGTACCTTCTCTCGCTAAGCAGCGTAAAGCCCCCCAGTCGAAGCTTTTCGGGGTAGCGCAATGCAATGCCACCAGCCTTCTACTCCAAAGTGTGGGAATTTAAGGCTCCAGAGTGTTGGGTTTTGGGGTTTGTGGGTTGGTTATGGGGTTGGAGGCCTTCGTTGGCACGATGAGTCCTATGATATCTGAACATTCATGCAAGGTGCTGGGGCTTGAGTACAAGCACTCTCTCCACCCTTTTCTCAACCACTGCATCATGTAGCAGATCACGTGGTCGTGTCCGAAACGGGGGACTCTTGAAAATTCCATGAAACTGATACGGATGATGTGCAGCATAGGGATCCGCAGGCGATTCCAGGGCTGTCTTCTCGTAAGCAATGTTGGGGGGTGAACTGCAGAAACTCCTAAGCTCCCATCTAGCTCCAACCGTAATCGCGCGGATTTTCCCAACTTGGGTGTCCTTGAACCATTGGCGTCTCTATAACACGGAGGAGGGAATCCTAATTTCACTCGCCTCACATGCCTGAAGTCTTGACTAGGGTACGCAGTTTGATGGCCCTTCTACATCTAGGCTCAGGGCTCAGAGTTTAAGCCTTAAGGCTTATAGGCCGTAAGGTAACATCGAAGATGCCGGCTGCCTTCCCTCAGCTGAAGCTCATCACGAAAGTGAGCTTGGATGCAGCATAATGTTTGACAAGCTTTGCCGGGCGATTGTTCACTGAATCACAAAACTGTAGCTTACGACAATGACAAAGGAGCTGACATCAGCTGGGTATCGCTCAAAAGCCAGGTCCACACATGAACAGTCAACGATAGCAGGACCCGCGCGACAAGCTTCCCAGATCCAAGACAGGGGAAGGGGCAATTGAAAGCTCTGTAGGTATGTTCCGTAACATTCGAGTTCATTTGGGTCATCTACAAGTGTGAAGGACCCACTGTTTTGGAGAAAGCAAAACTGTCAGACAAGGGCTGTTGGCAAACGCAAGCTCGGTATGTATACTACGAACAACAAGTGTCATCTACAGCACGAGCGGTGCAGGACTTTTCAAGATCTCCCCGAGGCCCCAAACCACAAAACTCTACATCCTAAACACCTAAAACATAAAGCATGGTCAGCCCCACAAAATACGAGTCACCAAAAACAACTGCAAGAAGCTTGAATACACCCGCCCTTACCTTCTTAGGGGACTGAAAGGCCTAAGACCTAAGCTCCAAAACCCGACACTAAGTCAGCCTTGAGCCCAGCACGGGCTAATGCCGACCCGACTGCAGCTGAGCTCACGCCCTGCAGGGGTCGGCTTGAGGCTTTGGGAATTTAGGGATGGCAGGGGTTTCACAAGATGAAGGTGCTCTCTCAGACCCTAGGCATATATTTTTGAGGGGCGAGTGCAGGAGCAAGGACTTTATAGGTTGAGAAATAACCAAGGAGCATTTGGACGCCAGGCCCAAACATGGTCTTCAATCGAATGCGCAGGGCTTACAGCCAGCTTGAATTTTTGGGCGTAGGGGCTTCGAGCTTGTATTTCATGGATGTAGTTGTTCTGGCTTCTGGCGCCTTGGAGGTTAAGTATTTAGTGCTTCGGGCTTAGCTGTCGTAGCATTGAGCGACTGTCAACCGCTTCATGTAAGAGTCTTGGGGTTAGAGGAGTCCAGACCGCAATAACTAGAGAACACGGGGCCCTTTTTGTTGATGAATTCCCCCCGGCCCTCGACGCTTCCATGCCCTTAACCTTCAATGCTACATCCCCAAATGCTACAACCTTGAACCTGAACCCTGCGCTACGCAAACCCTGAAGCCAACAAAGAACGCAAAGCCTCAACTCAAACCCTTATGATCCCCCAAACCCCGAAATTCCTGTAAGACCGCGATGGCTCCTCATATTTTCTTGTGCGTGGCCTGGAGATGCTGTGGGTAGTTGAAGTAGACTAGGCCTAGGCCTTTGCAGCAAAGGATTCAAGCTTCGACAGTTTGGGGTTGAAGGGTTTGAAGGTTAGGGTTGAAGGGATTAGGGTTGAGGTTCAGGTGGCGGTTTTCAATTTTTGGGGTCTGGGCTCAGGGTTTAGGGTTGTCGAAAGGGTGAAGTGTTTCGGCTTAGAATGTATGGGTTCAGGGTGGAGGGTGTGGGGCTTGGTTCACTGGGCAATTCTCGTAAAGTCTAAATTATGCCTGCATTCAGGGTAAGTAAAGCCTACTCATATATGCGTTTACTCCGAAGTCCCCGAGAAGGGTGCATCGAGGGAAGACTGAGGTCAAGCTTGTAGCACCCAAAGAGGTTTAGCATGTTCAGTATGCTGTTCCAAGGGTTTAGAGCTGTGGGTCAGGGCTGGGAGTGCTCAGTGTTTAGCAATGGCTTCGGGGAAGGTTTTAGGTTGCTTTGGGTGTTTGGGGGCTTTTTGTACAGCCATACCGAAAATGGATCCAGCCGCCTTTTTGGATAAGACCGCGATAACATGGCTTGCTACTTGACAGAGACTAATTCTGACTTCCGTGTCCTGAGCTTGGTGTCAGTAAACCATCCGAGTACCAAGCACAACTGTCTACATGCCTCATATAAGAATAAAAGGTGCTTAGTCCTGGCATCTGTAAGCGCCCAGTTCACTCTAGCGTGCAACGTCGAGAGCGCTTCGGTTTGCGTTCTTGGGCCCTACGGTGCGGGCGCCAGATTTGGAGAGGAGTGTCTTTTCCTTCGGAACTAGACCTTCAGAAGAAAGCGTAAATAATGCGAGTAACTGCCGTGACCTCACAAATGCAAAACACGGATGTTCCTCATACTGACCACGCCCCAGTTCACGCCACAGAAACACAAAGCACAATCCCCATCTGAGGTCACCCCAACAAACCAGCATTCCCTGAAACCCAATCTTGTTCAATAGTCCTCCCAAGAACTCCCGAAGCCCCTACAACTTAAGTAACTGCAAACAGCAAGCCATGAGCCACCCTACAGGGACCTCAGAAATTTGAGGGGGCTGTTGCGCGGATAGCTGCTGGGGGCTGGAATGCGCAGATCTTTTGAAACACCAAAGTCCCTAAAGCCAGGTCAGGTTGCCTTTGACGGTGCCCTGCCGCTCCACCAGGCCCAAGGTGTCAATGGAACCTCTCCAGAGGTCCAACCTGTGCATTTAAGGTGTCCTCCCTCCCAGGCGTGTGGAAGGCTTACGAGGCTCAGGTTCAGGGATCAGGAAGTTTGCCGAGCCTGGCGCTCAGGTTTAGAGAGTGCACTTGAAGCTTCGTGCGGCTTGCAAGTCCCCTACAAGGGGACTTAGCACTATAGTTGCCGGAACTATACTGACAGCGATCCATGAACCTTTCACTACGCCGCCTTCTCCCTGCTACTCCATTCTCAGACCATATGGGGAAGCATCCATACTGAGCAAAGGCTCTTCAGAAGCGGCTGAGCCCTTCTCACAAGCTTTAAATAAATCATTGGCCAGCTCGTAGGGTGTGAATGAGAAGCTTGTCCAAGGAGGAACACCAAATGCATACGTTACAAATCTCAAGCTCTGTGATTGGCTTTGTGACCCTCAGGGATGGCGCGCTGTGCTCTATCGTGCAGTTTTGCCTGAAAGAAAGGCAGGCCTCTGCAGATGCATCTTTACTGACGCAACACACAGGTTTTCAGATGATCCCACCGGGTTCTCCGGCAGGCAGGGGCTGCTTTGAGGAGCCGGTAATTTTTTTGCGTAGTAAAGTACCTTGAAGTCGCATGCAACCGTGCTCCTTTGTTAAGAACTTTATCTCATAGTTTGCATGATATAGATCATGAAGGGGAGAACCTCAGCACCAGGAGCACAAGCCACAGCACTTATTCAAGTCACGAGATGTAAGATTAGTGCCGTGGCTGGCACTGGCATTTCAGTGCTTAACATTCCCCGAGCATTGGCAAGGTATCAGCAAGTGATTAGGCCCCTCATCCGCACTTGCCTTACAAAGTTTGGCATGCGAATTATCCCAAAGGGTCCGTATGGAACTATAACTCCCGAAGCAAAATCTGATTCTATTTGTAGCTCCGCATGCTCTGCATCCGGACCCCCTCGGTCTACTGTGATCAGATATCTCAGGCATCGACATTTGCCATGCCTACAGCTAGGTTTGGCCTATATCTGGATCTGCTGGGCTTCTCACGGAGTGTTGCTGGACGATGGTACATCTAAGCCCAAGCATGACCCAGGAAAGGAGGGCAGCCGACTTTCAACAGCTGTCCATCTAGCAAGAGACTGTGGCTGAAGGCGGTGCCGAAGACCATCGCCTTGGCTTGGGAGCGGTACTGATTGGGGCTCAATAAATTTGAGGAATTAAGGGCCGTTGAGGCCTAGATCGCTGTTCAGCTCTTCAACTATGATTGCTGTTTTCATTTTCTGCGGCTGTACTACGTGAAGAACTCCAGCACTCAGGCCCGAATGATGCAAAGTAGCGAGCCATGCTTCAGTGTAGCTGTTGTCATGGGCAATGCTGCGCGGGATTCTGATTGCTGCCGCCACTATTGGGTTCTAGCCAAGTGCCTTTGCCTGTGCCTCTTCGACAGACTTTACCCAGGGTGATTGAGGAAACTGTGAGACGACTGTGTGCGGAAGTTGCGGCCCCAAAATCCTCGTATGCCAAAATCATGCTGCAAGCCCTCAGGGGATTTGCACGTCCACCAAAATTCGGTGAATTTTAGAACCTGTTGATATCACGAATCTTAACCGCCTTGCAGCTTTCACCTCATGCCCTGCCCGTCAAGCATTGTTCGTCTGCACGTACTGTCGATGGACGAAATCAAGCACCACCTGAGTCGCCAATAACCTAGGCATAGCAGTAGCTCTCGGGCTATGGGTGGTGCAAGATTTCCTCCATCAAAGCAATTCCATGATTGTGTTTCAACGCGGCTTGTATGGGAGATCTGTTTACATTGAGACTTAGGATCTTTCAAGCTACGCAATATGGAATGCGGAACAAACGTTCATTAGACCCTGGCGCCGCAAGAGACTTGCCAACCAAGCAAAGACCCGCTTCAAACCTGCATGACTTCATCGCTACTTGTCAGCTGCAAGTCCTGCTTTGAATTCTCAATGCTTGTGCGAACCACCTCCGGAGGCATCTGAACTTCCACCGACATGGCTCAGGAGGCAGTTACTACTCAGGTTGCCCTGACCTTTGGCAAACAGCGGCTGCAACTGAATGTGTTGGCTTCAGAGTTGTGTGATTTCTGGTTGGGCCAGGGCTCGGGTCAGGCAAACATTGGGCACTACTCCCCGTCACCCATGGCTGGATGATACTTGTACTACCGACATATAGAGCCCTCCATATTATGCTTCTTTAGCACTGGTAAGGGGGGGGCAAAATCCCAACTTAAAGCCATATTGGGCTTAGCGCTTCAGGCTTGGCTCTTGAAGGTTTTCGGGCTTCACGACGCCAAACAACCCTCGGAACCAGCCTTACAGAGCGAACCGGCCTGTTTCTGTGCTTGGACTAAGATCCTTATACCTCTACAAAACCATGTGGAGAAGCCCAAAAGCAGATCCCTCATGTTGAGATACCCCAGACGTTTTCAGTTGGTGTCCTGCTTATGGGCCGCGAGCCCCTACAGCTCACATGGCTAAAAAAAGAAAGGACATGGCACGACGGAGGGAGAGAGAGAGAGAGAGAGAGTCTAGTTTCAATTGTGTTGGCAGAGGCCCCTTGCTAGAACCAAATTGGACCCCGAGCCATATCCCTGAAGCTTTAAAATCTGGACCTTCGATGACCTAATTCGTGCATAGAGGCCAAAGCCTTTGACACCCGAAATTCTCAGACACTTAAAACAAGGGTAGGGTGCCCATAACCCCAAAAAGCAACCCTAAGTTTAAGAGATTCACATCATGGTGACTCACAGGTTGGAAGGAAATGGAGGAATGGGTCTCCATCATGGTCTCCTTTGCAAATGCCCCGTGATTGCTTCTCATCTTCCGCCAGTCTTGTACTAACCACCAGTGCTGCGATTTATTCATCCAGGCCTTGCTTTCATTGAGTTCAGCCGCGAGGAAAAGTGGAGTTTCGCTGGGCTCTGGATCTGGACAGCCGGAAGTAGGTACTATTCATAGGCGTTCGGGCCCAAAGTAACTTCAATTTATGGTTTCCAGGTAGCTGATTCAAGTAAGGTCTAGGGATGTCCAGGGTCTAGGGTTTAGGAATGATGGGCTTGCGTTAGACTTCGAGTAACTGTGGCGACTGTAGGGTCTTTCACTGAAGAAGATGCGTTCAACACTGCTGTATTGGCCTAAACAAGCAATTATCCTGTCAGTACTGGATGCCAAATTACTTGAAAAGGAAGCTCTTGCTGAGATTTAGGGGCCTGCGTAATGACTCGTTCTGAGTATGCGTTTGAGATGGTGCCATGTGTCAACGTAACATGCCGAGGATCGGTGCTATAGCTACATGGGATTACGCGCAGGCTTCATGACAAGGCACACTGATTCAAAAAACGTGCCGAAAGGCATCTAACAAGACACCACAATGGAAGGAACATAGCCGACAAAACATGGTTTGGCAATTTCTACACTTAAGGTCCGCGGAAAGCTGTGAATTTCATTGCGGCAGTGCACTGATACTGTAGAAGCCTCGTGCTACTTCCAACGGTATACGGCGCCTTAACTACAAAACTGGAAGCCGCCCTTGAAAGACGATGGTTAACGTTGACAATACGCCAGAACATCCAGGTTTAGCCCAATGCCCCGAGCTCACCTCCCATAACCCTGTCACCATAAGACATAGCACCTGAACCCGGGTGATCTGCGACAGCTCGCAGTGATACCTCTGTTTTCCTAAAGTTCTGGTTGACCTATTTGAAATCGACACTGGCTGAAGCCTACCATCAAGTCAGCCTGGTGTTGTAAAGCCCCCTGAGCTTCGCAGATAGACAAGGAACGGACAACGCTTGGAGGCCGCTGAGTAGCTGCAAGTGAACTACAGGCATGTCTTCTGAGTCACTACTACGGCTGCGTGACTTCTGCTCTAACCCCTGTTACATTGCTTCACCAGCCTGTACTTCTGGATGTGCCTGGCACCGCTCTTCATCAAGCTGTGACCTTCCCAAAACTGAAATGGCCTTTGCTTGGAACAACGAATGAGGCACAATGCAGACACAATGACGTACTCCGGCTAAGACTATTCAGGCCCTCACCTTCGCAGACTACGACCATCCAATAGTAGTTAGTAGCCTTTGCTGATTCCATCTTTCCCGCAAGTTTCAGACTTTCATGACCCCCTTGGCAAGATCTTCAATCTGTGTCAAGCCGCTTGAGAGATTTCTATTACTCTGCAGCTCCATACTTCTGAACACATGTGCGTGTACACACTATAAGCTTGCAAAAATGCCTCATGAGCAAGACTGCGCAGAATGCAACTGCTGTTTTTCTGCTCATCACATACGGTAAAAGACCCTACAACAATGTGTCACTGCCCGGGTATGATGCGCTTCGATTTCGCAAAATATGCCTTCATGCCTATGACCCTTGCAGGTATGTGCAGTCGCTGTGTAGCCCCACACGCAACCCCCGCAGTCCGTATATGCAGTCACAGGCATACGGACTGGACGGCCTGGGTGTCGCCCCAAACGCCAGGGCATCACAGGCAGTGCGAGTAGGCAAACTGGGCTCTGCACCTTCAGATCTTGAGGGCTGCTTTGGGTAAAAAGAAGAGGTTCTGGGGATTACAGTTTCAGTGTTGTATGCAAAAGAAAACAAGCTGTGTTCAAGCAGGCTTCATCTGCCTCACTCAGACAACTCACCTCAACAGAAAACATGTGTTCCAACTATTTGTGCTAGGAAATGCAGAATGCAAGTGCCATACCCTGATCATACATCTGCATGCGAGGATCTGGAATCGTATGCGCCACGCTTAGACTGTTTTTGCTGTAGTCTCAGTGCCCAACTGTTCAATCATCAGCAGCTTGGGACTTTTCAGGCCAGCCGTACGCAGGTTTGCCATGATCATCAAATCGTCTGGGCGCCACCCAGTGGGTAGCTGTACTTTCGGCAAACTCTCATACACGCACCCTAGATACTGTACTCAATGGCTGTCCTGCTTCCACGAAACAATCCCTATAACTCCATATGACAGTTAGATACAGCAATCGTAGCCCGAGCCAAATAGCCCTAAATCCAAAACCTAGAGCTCCCAGCCTCACTTTCAGAACCTGTAAGTATGCATGTGGACCGATAGATCCTAAAGGATAACCCTCCACCCTGTAGCCTAAGCATTAAACTTTGCGCCCTGAACCCTATCTACAAACTTGCTAGACCTGAGAACCCGTAAACTTTAGTGAATCTAGTTGCAGCACCTGCAGTGGCCACCGCGATGGCACCCGCGGAGGCTGCCAGGCGAAGTGTAGTGTTCCAAGACTGACCAAGCTGGCCCCAGAGTAGGGGTTCAGGGTTCAGGCTTCCGGCGGACTCAGGGTTCTGGGGGAAGTTGAGGCTTTCTAAGCTGAGTAGCTGGGAGCAAGGGTCGTTAAGGGCGCTGGACTTTGTGGCAGAGCTTTGGTTTCGGATCTGCATAGGATTTCGCAGTTCCCGAAACTACTGCTGGAGCGGCCTAGGCGAAGTATACCCTAACTACGTATATAAGGGTTATACTGGAATGTTCAAGCTTCCAGACGGTAGATGCCTCCTTCTGTGATGCTGATGTCTGAACCAAAACAGGCAGGAAAAGCTTCTTGTCATGTAGCAAGTCTAGAGCTTAGAACTCCAAATTAATCATCCTCTTCAGAAGCTCACATTTTGGGGGAGAACCTGGGTGTCTCATCAAGCAGCAACAAAAGGATGATACTCCAAAAAGAATTTAAGTCGAACTTCAAAACCATGCCCCTCCCAGAAAAAGCCTGGCCCTCCGCCGAGGCCTGGGCGTTCGCTATAACTGGTCTGATTCTTCTAGCTGCTATTCTAGCTGTAGATGTGGGTGTTTGGGGATAACATTCTTGTGTTTCTGCGTACTCATTCCTGGCGATTGAGGTATTAGAAGATGATAAATGAAGGGCGTGGTCGGCCTGGTTCGAGGCTTCAAGTCTAAGGAGGCTTGCTGCTAACTGGCACCTCAGGTTGTCGTGATTCTTTCCAGTTCAGGTTGGTTATGCGGGACATCTCGCAGGTGCGATAGGGAGTGCTTCGCATCACAGGTATGTTGCGTCGACTTTTGTGACGGACGAGCTTTGGAATGTCATGGGCGCTGCTCACCTTGCCCAACTTCCCCGCACATAGCCCAAAACGACGCGACTCTCAAGGTCAGGACACACATGAGGGAAGATGCCGGCCGAGTATCTGGCAGCTGCTTCAAGCTGCTTGGCTTTGGTGTGGCAACGTAACACAGTTGCTTCTGCAGGGGTCTCCCCAAAGATGCTCAGATATGAAGGATCTCATAAGCCACGCCTTAAGACACTCACCGAAAGACCCTCCTATCCTCTGGAATAATTACACCTCATTCGTCCCCAAGGCTATGTGCAAAGAGCAAACAGGTATCTCAGACCCACAGGTCCACCCTGGAAAATCCTAGAAAAGCATCAGGATCCCATCTTCATATCGCCGCTGTGGACCGCTTGTGTCAAGCATCGCAACTCGCATCAAGGCAGTCCCTCCTTAACCAAAAGCTGAAGCCCCAAGCCCAAGCCTGCAGAACCCTTTTTGGGCTCTGCTTCACCCCTCGTCTCTCTGCATCATTCCTTGAAGAAAAAATGCACTTCTCGTCCTAGCCCAGAAGCACCCGATCGAAGGCTGCTGCATCGAACTAGGTGGACCTATATACCCTTAGATTGAATTATTGCATACGTGCAAAATGTGATTTGGAATCAAACCTCCAAGCAATTACGAGTTCGAGGGTCCCAAACCCTGAACCAGAAAAATACTTGACTTGTCTAGCCACGACAGCCACTGCTGCTCGGAAAGCATCCCCGGCTGCAGTTGCATCCTAGAGATGCAGGACTTTGCACGGGCCGCGGTTTTACGAGTCTAGGACTTCAGGGCTTCAGGGTGTTAGAGAACTACTCTTACAGCCAGTTGGCCATGTCTCAGGATACGGGTAGGCATCATGTGAATACCCCTGAAATATGAGGTCCATACTACAAAGCCAACAGGTAAAGCAGCTGTAATATTTGGAAAAATCCGATGCTCTACTTCTGCAAGGTCAGCGCACTGGATCTTTGAGTTTGAGCTTGGGGGTCAAGGTCAACTATAGCATTGAGGAACATGGATTTAGTTGTGGTAGGAGTTACTCCTATGAGTCCATGGAAGTGTTAGGGGCAAAATTACTTGTGATTACGCCTTCCTCAGGCCTGAGGAGACTCCTTTAGATCGCATCCTATAACAAAGATGAAGCCCAAAACTTTCGGCCTCACGGGTCAAGCACATGAAGACAAAAAGGTTGTAGGCTTCGTCTCGTCCCATGCATGTGGAGCTGAAAACATCCAGGGATTGGGCTTCGAGGTCCCATTCGTAACCCTCTGAAAAACCGCCCCTCACGATGACTCCCTCCTGTGCCCTCCGCCATAAGCCCCAATGTCATTGCTATTGCTCCATCTCAAGGGAATTCCTCAGGAGTAGGGGCCCGCAAGCCCACATGATTACTACACGACTACATGAGATCAAGAAAAATACGCATACGTTAAGGACACTCCGATCTTGAGTTCTAGCCCAAGCAGGTCGCGACAACACGACCTCCGGGTACAGGAAGCACCGGGGCGTCCAGTTCCTCTTCCTCAGGAGGTGCAGGGCTCTTTGGCTATGTGGCTCAGGCCTGCGGTTTCAAGGGTTCGAGGTCCTACAGGGCTTAGGGCTTGAGATTCTGGGCTATTTGGGGAACAGTTTTCCAGGCTTCGGATTCAAGATCTAGAGGCTTAGGGTCTTGGAGTCAAGAGGTGGCTAAATCACGCTTCATGCATCACAGATTGGATCATCTTGAGACATCTGTTGGCCTTGCACGCTTAAGCTTCCTAGCTTTGGGCGGGAAGCTCGCCAGTCTTCCATGAAAAGAATACAAATCGGAAGACGGTCCGCAAAAGATGAATAGCCAGTATCCAGAACAGTGCATGCACGGTGCACTTTGAGACAGATGCATGGATGGATACGGGTTGGCTCAGCGGGCTCAGCAGTTGACGCAGGGAAAGCTCACATCCTCAACCCTGAGGCACCACACCCAAAAGTCAGGACCTGTGCCGGCCCCAAAGCTGGGCAAAGAAGAGCATTGGGCCAGGGCCGTTAACGAGTGCGTGTGGCTCAGAAACTAGAGGCAACCTTGCTCCGGCAGGGCAGTTGACGGGAAACTAAGGCTGAAGTCCAAGCCTTGAAGCAGGCAAGCTATCACGTGCAAAACTTCAAGGAACCTCAAGACCTTACAGCCCCAAAGCCTCCATTGTCACCACACGATAATTTGCGTATATCGCAAAAATACATCGACGTCGCTCCTTGGGTATTGAGCAACCCCGAACCCCCAAAATAGATTATGTCTACATATAAAAGAATATATGTGTACAGATATGCATGTATATATATATATACATATACAACATCTACCTTTTTATGGGTCAGGGTTTCGAGGCTAAGGCCTAAAAACAACAGCGAAACAAGGATAAGGGTACGGCTGATGAGGACGATACCAGCATTGAACAGGAACAACAATAATAGCGAAACAGGCGACTCACAAGCCCTGAACGCTGCACATGAACGTCAATCCCTCACCCTCAAGCCGCATAGCCCTGAGCCCTTAACCCCAAAGCCTGCCTGGGCCCCAAAAGTAGGCAAAATCATAGCCCCAAACCCCTAAAGATAGCCCCAAAGGCCCCCATTATTCTACATACTTTTGGGGTTCAGGTATACCTTACCTTGTCATTACAGAGCTTCTTGGGCTCCTCGCCTCTGTGACCAGCACGGCACCTCTCGCGCCGAGCGTGACCAACCTCAGCATTTGCAAGTTTGAAAATTACTGTCATAAGGTTTACGGGAGCCTTAGTTTTGGCTGACAGCCAGTATGGCAGTCCCAGCCAAAAGACCCGACACCGCCCTGAAGAAATTCTGTTCCGCAAGAAACGCGGGACATATGTACGAGGGAGCCCCAGCAAGGGACTGCGATTTGAGAGGAAATCTCCCTGCTCGAATTATTACATGAGAATAGATGCGCAGATGCGCTTCGTAGTCCCCATGCCCCGCCCAATCATAAACCAAGATTCTACCACATCCCAAGCTTCATAGAGATTACCTACCTCAAATGCTTCTTCAAGGGATGCGGCGCGATCGGCCTATCTGCTTGCTTTGCTTGTTTGGTGCTTGGAGGGAGTCATTACTTGTGCACTTGCGCAGGCGCCTATTTGATGCTCTGCGATCTCCATTTGGCAAGCGAATCTGCAACAGTTCCGATACACTTCTCGGGAAGGCGGTCACCCACCGGTGATCCATATAACAACTCTAAAAAAGATTAACAAGGTATGTATCCATTTATCCCCATTACCAACTCCTTGTCCTTATGGTAGCGTTCATATTGCGGCCGTGGGGCACAGATTGAGCCCCCCGGGCGCGGAGTTCGCGAGCGGCAGCGATGACGTCGGCCCTGGAAACGCGAACCACTTGTGCCGGCTCTTATGCAGGATTTCCAGAACATTAGGGGCCCCAGTCATAAGGATTCTAGCCTGTTAGGGTCAACATGCCTGGCCTTTTCTTGAGGTCCGCATCATAACGATGATAATCTACTGGGGTCTGTATTGGGGCCCCGCTGTGTATGGGAACTAGGATGTAAGTAGGGGCGCATAGCGTTTAAGATAAGTTAGGAAGATGCTTGGGTCCGGGATTTCTTAAAGTGGGGAAAGCTGTATACTACGTACATAACCGCTGATGTTTGTGTCCGACACGACAGAAATACATACCTACTGCTCAATACGGGCTGCCAGTATATGCCTATGTACTGGTTGGAAATGAGACATACATGTTTTTGGGAGATTCCGCGTTCCGAGTTAGAAGCATGATGTTGGGTAGGCAGGCTCTACCACTTGCCCATTTGCAAGAGACTGACACTCTTGGATACTTGCCCTCTGGAGGAAGGACATTCGAAAGTCCGGAATCCAGCAAACCCAACGCCTGAACCCCAAACCCAAATAATGGTGAATCCCAACTGGTGTGAGGGGGGGAGAGGTCGGGGGGCATAGTTGTGCAAAGGTTTACAGCACTTGTTCAGCACCCCCTGATTCGCTTCGGGATCCTTAATGGTGCGAAGTTTCGCAGCTTTCTTTTTTGCTGGCGGGCCTGGGGTATTGATTAAAAAGCCATTTACCTAAGCTACAGAGCCCCAAAACCCTGGTCCTTTTGACTCCGAAACTATGAGGTCCCCCCCACACTGAATAGTAGCCCATTTTTCTTGGAAGGGGGCACCTATCAGGACTCCACATCAACCATCTTGCGCTGGAACTTAACCATTCAGAGATTGCGCCCTGTGAACCTCGAATGGCTTGCACCCTGGAGCCCATCAAGCGTCAACCCTAGAACCCATATTGCAATCCAAACGCCAGAGATGTCAAGTAATTGAAACCCTGCACCACAAATGCGAAACCTCATGAGCCTCAACAGGTCAAGGTCTACTAAAAACCATTCAGAACTCTGTGGACTTTCACATCCTATGCAGCCCCGAAACAAAAAGACGTCATCAGTAACGCTCGAACCCCCAAGTCGTCACTGCAAAGCCTAAACTCCTAACACCTTTGAGACCAGAATCCCAATCCACCTAGATATCAAATCTGACCCCAGACCAATTCCGGGGGCACCTGACATTCTGTAGACCACAACACCCCAACCCCCAACCCTAGACCTTCAACCCTGAATCATCAACACTGAGTCCCACCCCGCATGATGCCACAACCCTGAGTCC